CTTTTTGCGCGTATTTTTGGATCGTTTCCTGACGAAGAATTCATATTCATTTTTGAAAGACTATCGAAGGAGCATAGAGACGAACTCTAACTTCTTATTGTTGAATTGTGAAAAAAAAAAAGAAAAAAAGGTCTTTTGTAATTTTTATGTGTTTATGATGTATTTTTTTATGTTGTTATTGTTTTGTATTGACAAATTGTAATTTTTGTGGCGAGTATTGTCTTTTGAGTCTGCTGAGCATTTTTTGGTAATTTCGAGATATCTTGCTTTGGTTTTCTAATTTTATACTTGGGCTAATATTTCTATTGTGTGTTTTCTTCTATTGACATAACTGAGTTTTATGATTTTTCATGTTTGATAAGTGAAATGTATTTTTAGTTTAGTTTTTACTGGTTAAAATTTTGTGGTTCATCAGGGGAGTATTAAATTGTTGGACAGCGCAAGATACATTTGATAAGTTTAGATTATGGAGTTCAGCTTTAGACACATGACCTGGCAGTGGACCTAGGAGGTGCTGTTTAAAAAGGGGACTTTTATAAAATTGGGCTAATGTTTTAGTTTTTTAGTATACTAAATAGTTTTTTGGTTCCTCTATTAGAGGGCTTAATCATTTTATTTGTGAGGTCTGTATGTCTCAGACCTCAAAACGGGGACTGTTAAAGAAAAATGATTATTTTTAGACTTTATTACAGTTAATCTTATGGCATGTGTAAACACTCTCACTTGAACATATTTCTTAATTTTGAACAAGGCTGTGTTAATGATTTAAAACTACTAATGGGTAAGTATTTAGAGCACAGGCCATAAAATGAGTATCTCCTGGGGGCGAACATTATTTAAGCCTGCAGGAGAGATTTCTGCTTGGTTTACAGAAGGTCAAAAGTCTTCCAGAATAAACAACCAGGGATGGTGAGGCCCCCCGCATTCCACAAGCTGTCTGTGGAAGCTTATCTTGTGTTTTATGACCCTGGGAATTCTAGATGCCAGGACAAGCTTTCCGCCTTTTCTTGTTAAAATAAAGAAGCAAATGACCCCAGATGTTTGCAGTAAATTAGGTGAAGCTCAGTGTCAGAGATGGCTCCTGGTTGGAGGACCGAGGGCCAGCCCTTTTTGAATGGATTAGATACAAGAGGATAAAGCTTTCTAAATAGAACTAAAAAATCAGATTTTGCTCTTGCAAACTCTCCAAAGATGTCTTGTACGTCTTTGCTTTATTTTCCTTCTCTCCATTCATGTCAGGTAATGGAATGTATGTCTCTGTTGTTCTGCAGTTTCTGGTGTAGGTTTGTGCATTGTCTTATTTCTAAAGTGTATGCATTGTCTTATATTGGATTAAACTCTGTAATTCTGTGACGTCAACACGCAATGTTGGTTTTATTACCAAGCGCAGCTCGCCGAGTGGACCTGGGGAAGGGAAGAATCAGAAGCCAATCTTTTTCCAAAGTTAACTATGTTAGAATATTTTCTTCCTTTACAAGCCTTAATTTCAAAATTCGGGCAACAACACATACACTTTTTTACAATTACCTTACCTCCATAGATTGGCTCTGTAAGTTTGAGTTTGATTCTTTTTGAAATATAATTCCTCCTTTTGTGGATCAAAGTTTTTGTTTTTTTGGTGTTCTTACTTCATGCAGGACAGCTAGAGGGACTGTTTGTTATACATATTTTACTGTGGGACATTTGTTATTATGCATAAACATAACAACAATTTATTTCTTTTTTCAGGAGTAGCAGCTGATTAACATCTCAAAAGCTAAATTAGTTGAACTACATTTCCAAATCTAAATGCATTTGAAAAGAAGGCCCGAAGGATGCAGAATAGGAGCTAAAAACAATAAATAGAAGGAGGAAATTGGAGCCATTTTTCCAATTGGTAATGCGAGATCCTGGGAAAAAGCTGGATCTGGACCATCCCTTCATCACACCCTCCCTCTCTCTCATACAACCCATAAACATAAAAATGTTTATGCCAAAAGTCTAATTTTATAAATCCAGACAGACCAAAACCCAAACATTCCATGTTCATAAGATTTTGATGTTTCTTTATTTCTACACACCTTGAACACATCACCATAAAAGATAATGAAACTTGGCTACCAGGAAACAAACAATCAGAGCTCACTTTTCTCTCCAGTTTAATCAACACTCATTAGTTCACAGGTAACGGTCAGCAGACGACAGGAACATTTTTTTCTCTAAGGGTGGACTTTCAAATCTTCTTTTTAGAGGGGTTTATGCTTCAATGAGACCAAACCATAAACCGTAATCAGAAGCTCAAACAACAATTCTCATCTAAATCAGCACAACTTCAATAAAGAGTGGCATGAGTGCAATTGACGTCTGTCATCATAGTTCTGGCAGTAAAACCTGGGGAGACTGAGGATTAAATCAGTTCCCTACACCGTCTTTGAGAGGTCACAAGTTTGGATTATAATCCAAAAAACATAATCACATTCCACATTTAGTATAACAAAGCCAATCAGCTACCCTGGAGTGAAATAAAAGCAACTTGTCGATGACTTTCAAGCAGCAGGTTGATTAACTTGTTATATTCTGGATGTTATTTCAATAGAACCTTCATCTCACATAGAACGCACTGACTGTTCTTCCTTTTGATAAAATGACAACAAATGAAACCACTATCCCCTGAATACTGACATGCCAGCTGCAAGTGTAGTTGCCAATAGTTCTGTCATCGGTGAAGAAAAATGTTATTTATAATTGCAGAGTTGTTTAATATATAATGATATAGCCTAAAAAAATGAATAATTGCTTTTAAGTAGTATTTGTGGTCATTTAGTGAAAAACTAGGATAGATAACAGCTGACTGATTGTGAAAGACTCCCACATCATGCCTGGAGCACAGGGAGGACTAGAAAAAAAAGATGAATGCAACATTTTCTCCTTAATCACTAGTATGAACATTTTAAGAACAGATTTGTTCATACAAATGATTCTTGCATGAGACCCATTGTTGTGAAAGACCCCCTGTATTCTGCTGGTACAAATGACAACTCAACCAGCAGATCTCATTGGCTATAGACCTCCTAAGTCTAACCCCAAACCCTGATATCATGAGGGTGAACTTTTAGCAGCTGAACACGAATTCATCACATCTGAATCAAATAATTGGATAAAAAAAAACTACTTTGAAGTACACGATTGCACACTGAGAAGCTATTTCAGCCATCTGATGCAAGTGTGGTGAAGCAAGGACAAATCCAAAGTAGTTTAATGGCTCTCAAGGCTTGTAGTTGCCTATTGTGTCCCACATGATGGAAGTTCAAGACAGACTATTGTTGAGAAAACAAGCGACAGGACCTAATGCAGTTTGCTTATGACTGTGGAGTTGATTCAGCTTGCTTTGCTTTCTCAGAAATTCCAGAAGACTCAGGTGGAGGACTAAACAACTGCCCGGATCAAAACTACTTGACAAACAAACCACAATTTGTGACACCAAAGTGTTACTTGTCTAAGCAAGTGTTTAGCATCACAAGAGCATAATAGGGGACAATACTGTTGTTCCTTTTTTACTCTATACACTTATGACTTTCCGTACAAGTCAGACAATTCTCCTGTCATCTGCAGAAATACTAAGATGACTTGTGGGGTGTATCGTAGAAGGACAAGAGGTTAAGTACGGGGAGCTAGTGAACTGGATTGTTACAGGGTACGGAGAAAATTATCCTGATTATCAATTAAAAAGGAAAATGACTTCAGATTTCAGCAGCAACCGGAAAAAGGTCATATACCATTAGCATGTGAGAAGAAATGGAGATGGTGCAGGAGTATAAATACCCCAACTGGTTCTGTCTGGCAACTCCTCTAGAACAGCGGTTCCTTATCCTGGTCCTCTAGTACCACTGTCTTGAAAGTTATGCGTCTACTTGCTGATACACACCTGACCTATCTGTATGAATAAATGATTAACAGGCATCTCCAGCACTTGATTGCTGATGAGGACCTCATGCAATGATATGAAGCAGTGGTGCTGCAACAGAGAGACTTCTATAGATCTGCGGTACTTGAAGACCAGTGTTGAGAACTACTGCTCTGGAACATCTGTTGAGGACTTTAAAAAGTCCACAATGTGAAAAACATTATGAAAAACTCTTTGCATTATCTTCATTAGACTGTCATACAATAATAATATATTGAGTAAGAGGCTTGTCCAGATCAGTTGTTTCCACCACAGGAGGACCTTCAGGCCCACAGCCATCAGCATCTATAACAATTTGCTAAAAAGGCCACCAGAATATGACTTACAAAGCATGTCATTAACGTGCTCCATTGTTTAAAGCTTCTTTTAACACTGCCTTGCAAAAGTGTTTATTAAACATTTCACATGTTTTTAATTGCTTCATTTTTTTCTGATTTTAAGGCAATCTGGTATCAATATTTGAAGCCCATGCCAGGAAGTTGCCTTCATTATATCTTAGTGCCATTTGTAATTAATAGAGCAATGTAAGATTTTTTTTTGTCATAATACTCCACTGGATTTAAGTCTGGACATTGACTGAGCCATCCAAGAAAGTGAATAATTGTTGATTTTAATTTTACCTTAGAGCAATGGTTTATGGGAAACCATTGCTTTGCTGGGAGATGAACCCCCACCAGTCTCAAATCTTTTGCCATATCTAAGAGGGTTTCTTCCAGGATTTTCCTGCATTTAGTTAAAATGATCCTCCCTTCAACTATGAACAGCTTTCCTGTCCCTGCTGAAGAGCGTTTCTCAAGATCATAAAGCCTCCACTACCATGTTTGACTGTGGGGATAGTGTGTTCAGTTTCCTGTGTTACATGGTGTCCTCCCATTTTTTCTATAAAAGAATTAAAAACCATCCATCCTTTTCCTTCCCTTCACAACTAGGTGTCAATTACACAGAATCCTGAAAACAATACATTGAAAATATTTTTTATTCTAGATAACTGAATGACCCGATAAAATAAAATCCTTGGTAAAGCGTTGTATTTTACAAAACACTTTGTGTCTTTCACCTTTCCAGTTGTATGTCCATGCAGACCAAACATTCCTCTGAGTGCATCCTCACTGATGGCTTCTGGACGGTCTATCTTATTCCCCAGGACCAGAACCGGGATGTTAGCAATGGTTTCATCCGTTAACACCGCCTATCCTCCACAAAAATGCACATGTTTTTACAGTCACAGAATAGGCATCAGTTTAGATTTTTTTTTAAAGGCAGCAGGATTGGAATGAACTCACGTCCAATTCAGCTTTAGCCTCTGCTAGACGTTCATGATCAGCACAATCCACCATGAAGACGATTCCATTTATTGCTGGGAAGTAATTCTTCCAGATCCTTCGGGCTGTGAGGACATTTCAGGTTTTATGTGACACCCTGCAGATGCATCAGTGAGTCTTTCTTAAGCGTAAGCATTTGTACTAGGACCATATTCTATACTATTACCTTGAGTATGACCTCCGAGGTCGAACGTGGTGAACGTCATTCCAGCTATGGTTAGCTCTTCAGATGCTGATAGCAGAAAGAGAATAAAACATTTTGAAGAGGAACATACCCATAAAACACAAGGAGAAGTGTGTAATGTAAATGTAAACTACATTCCACATACTTGGGTACATTGTAGGCATATGCTGTCCCAGCCTGTCGTCTCTGAGCATCTGCAGAAGGGTTGTTTTTCCGGCATTGTCTAGTCCGAGGAAAACCAGCTTCCCAGTCTTCTTGTACAACCCTAACATGAAAAATAACACATTTAAAACAGAGAAAAATAAAATAAGGAGTTAACATAGAACTGAGAGGGGCCTTTTATCCTCTTAGGATCAATAAAGTTTTATTAAAACATGAACTGTAGTTTTTTTCTGTGTGGTTGCATTTAATCCTACATATAACATATTTGAAGTATTTACATAGAGAGGTCATTTATGCTAAAGTAAAACTAACATTAGATTATTTGGAATAAAAAATGCAAAGAATATGTATTTTGTTCATCTTGAGGCTTTATCTTCTTTGAATTGTTTTTATTTTAGAATTGGATGATGGACGGAAATATAACAGTTGAATTTAAAAACAAAAATCTGTTTCAAAGAGTTTGAACTGATTCCGATACTGTAAAACATTCAGGAGGAAACCTCGGCGTACACCCACAACTTGCTGGAGGGACTTTAGCCTACATGTGTATAGTACACCTTGGGATCCCCCAGATAAGGAGGTCTTGGTTTCCCTCCTGGACCTGTTACCACCAGCAAGGCTCAATCTCAGTTAAGTAGAAGGATTACAGCTGGCAGCTAGACATTTCTTACACCCTCAAATTTGGTCATAGCATAATATTGGCTTAATGTTTGAACAGTATTGTTATTCAAATGGTAGAGGTAAACTGTGATTATCTGGTTGACTTGCACGGAGTCCACTTTTAACTCTTATCCACGCACTGATGTATATTTGTGATCACTGAAACAACTTTGTACAAGTTTTATCTACGCTGATTCTAAAACGTAAGCTATTGGGTGAAAGGAGATCAGTGAGTTTTACATGGTCAGATGGATTACCGGAGGTTTTACCCAGTGCTGCCCTCAACACCATCATTACATCAGTTTGATGCAGAAAGAGGAAGGACAACAATGAGAAGATTAGGATGATGCAAAAGAAAAAGTACTGTAAGTAAATAGTAGTGTGCTGCAATAATGAAAACCAAACCGATAAAGTCCAAAATCCCAAATATTATAGAGTTGTTAAAAACCACAGATAGGGTTAAAAAAAAAAAAAAAAAGATAAACCCATAAAGGCAACACCACAGCATAAGATCATGTCTCTCCATTGGGCAAATAAACATGGACAACGCAATACCTCTTAACCACATGCATGAAAGAATTAGGATAAGGCTGCTGTACAGTAAAATATGCAGTATTTCTGTATTATACTATACCTAATAACTGCAGGACACTGCTGAAACTCTTGTAGATCCAGTCAAATATAAAAGACATCTCTGTTGACAATCTACAATACAGATAACTGGTTAAGCATAATGGGAAATAAGATCAAAACACACATTCTTCTTTGAAAAAGTACCAAGAATAAGTGTCCATTTGAATTAACAGTACAAGAGAATAATCTAATATTTTGTTAAGGGGCTACTGTGTTATGGAACCCAGGATTGACCCAGTAGTAATCATTATTCCTGGTCCAGGATTACTCCTCTGGTATGTGTAAGCTGTGAGTAATCACTTTCAAAGTTTTAAAACGTGAAAAGCAGTCAAGTGCTTGTTCTGTGCACCGTCTCACTCTGCTGCACTGGTGTTCCTCTGACTATTTTTATGACTAGTTGGGAGAAGGACATTTGATCTAGACACTGTCCCCTGCCTCTGCCTCATGCACACACCAGCACCTGTCACTCTAGTGACTCAATGTTCTTGCTGAATGGAGACGGTTTTAGTGAGAGGAGGCCTCCAGAAATTACCCAACTGTTGATTGTTGAACCTGGGTCACCAGTAAACAACAAAACCCATATCCTAACATTGTGTTTTTGTGCAACCCTATAAATAACACTGGGATATAATATCTGCTTAATCTCTGAAAGGATAAGCTTGTCTTTTAAAGTTGGTATATGTTTTTTAATACAAAAAAACAAAACAAAATAAAGCAGAAATAGGAGTGAAACTAAAAATATTACTACTGGATGTATGTTCCTGTATATTTTTCAATTACTTGTAACATATCAGCTCTCCAAAAATAAGCATTAATACTGGAAATCATGATTTGGTCCCAAATGGCCAAATTAAGTCGAGTATTTCTTTAATATTTTTTTATTAAGGGGAAATAATAAAAAGAAATACATTTTAGAGGTAAAAGTAAACTCCATCCACCATGATTCAGCCTTACCTTGGTATGGAGTTTGTGAAAGCCTGTTGTCCGTCAAATTTGGTCCAGAAAATGCGCCCTCCCTTCCTGGCTGCGCTTCTACACTGGGTTTTATGACCGCTGATGACCTCATGGTGTGTTCAAATACACCTCGTTCACTTTTACAGTAACATAACATTATTTACCAGGACCACTGCGGTATTTTTTTCTTACATCGTATTCTGGGCCATTTCATATTTTATTTTCCGTTAGAAAAAATGAAGAGAAGTACCGGTAATGCAGAATAACACTTTTTTCATCAATACTTCACTTATTCAGGTTTATTTAAACAGATCATATACATTGCTTTTATTAAACATTGAAAAGGTGCCACTTAAAAAGTTGCATTATGAGAAAATAATATAAAACTTCTGTATTTCAATTCATTGAATGGGTGTGTCGGCCTATAGGAATAGTTGAGATTTTTTCTTTTATTTCTGTTAATCATGATTAACTTTTGCTCTTATCAGTTTGCTCTGATCAGTCTAACATTGATGTAGTGAACCTGTGGTGTGAATAATATTCTCACCTCAGTTTATCTTTATAACCATTTGAAAAACAGTCTAAAACCAATAAATTTGAAAAGAAAAACAAAACTTGAACAGCAAAATGTGAATTAATTAACTTTATATAGTAAACTCTTCTTTATATTTAGGGACCAGGCCAACATAAAATCACAAGAAACAGAATAAAATATTAAACAAAGATGGGACAATGTTAATGAATTGATTTGCCTCTTAATGCATTTGAATCTGGATGCTAAATTATAGTATTTCAGATTTGATTTGATAAAACCAAAGCACATATTGAAAAAGGCTGCAGTCACAAATGTATTGTAAAATGTGTTTTTAGTTTTAAATGCTCCTCTTAGGACTTTAGTATCAATAGCCTTATACATCAATTTTAATAGAATTCCCATTTAAACCCCTGCATCTATCATGGACATCTGAATGTATAGTGAAACATTTTCTGCAGTGAAAGTTTTACTCACAAGGTTATTATAATATTTTATCTTTTAAAATACTGAAAAATATAGAAGAATAAATAAAAACCTAGAATTAACTAAGCTAATTAAATGAGAGCTCACACCCTTTTACAAGCACTCAACAATAACCCTGACAGTTTTATCTACTTACCAAAAGGTCAAAGATCCTTTTATAATACCGTATTTACTATATGAACTTATTTTTGCCTATACCATGTTATAAACACAACACTTTTTTACAAACACTAATTCAACATGAGACAAGCGGATCCCTCATTTATCCATTTCATGGCTGTAAACCATTAAACTGACACTGGGATAATAATTTAAGCAGAGAGCCTTTATTAAACAGGTCAGTGTCATACAGCACACATTTCTGTGAGGCACAGTTTCGGTACTTTATCTGACAGCACAACCTTGCAGGAATCTTTGTTCAAATAAAGGAAAAAGTTGTTAGTCAATACATGAGTACCCTTTGACTTACTTTGTCAGTATCTAACCAGTAGTGCTCCATCTACAGGAAGATAGAGGACCTACATATAACCCCACTGGTGTTTAATTTTAATGTATCTTCAAGTATAACTGTCACATTAGTTTGTATTTTTTTGTTCTTGAAACCTTTCAGCTCCCGGATCACTTCCTCTCATAGTAGAACCATTTATCAACTGTAAACACAAACAAATAATATTCAGCATGAGTTTAAAACACTGCATCCATCAGAGAAGGGGGTATTCATAAAGGTCTACCTGATGATGGGATAGGCTCTTCTTTTCCACAAGGGCATGTCTAAAATTGGAGCCAAATGGAAGATTTTAAGTCTTGATGTTGAAACCTGTTATGCCTCCAAATGAAGGGCAGGACATCTTACCTCACCAACAGCAGCTTTGGCCTCATCCGCTGAGCAGCAGAATGGGCTGTCACCAGCTGAGACACATGTGTTTTTGCTGTTTATGAGACAGAGTTAAAACTTTAAAGAGTGCAAATCTACCAGAAATGGAAGCAGCCACAAAAACATCAGGGGTTTTTACCAGTTGAGTTCCCCAGCGTTAGTTTGTTGGCAAATGAGGGCTTTCCAGAAGCCATGAGTGCTCTTGATCACTTTAATGGCAAAGTCCTAAAACAGAAATTATCCATTACCTACATGGAAGCTCAGTGTTCAGACATACCTCAGGGTCCCTTACAACTTTTATCTCAATATTTCCAGAGTTCCAGGACTTTTCCAAGTATAAGTACATAAACTCACTGTGGATAAGTGGTAAATACCTTTACAGGGGTCAGAATTACAGCACATATGTAACGTTGATTAAAATATTAATAATAACCAGACAGGTGGATTTTAGAAAATGGGATTACAGTCCAAAAATATAAATATCAATACATCTCTTTATTGTCATTCTTATTTAAACAAGAAATATTTCCAGCAGCATAGGAAGATAACTAAAATATAATGATGAGCTTTGATTAAAAAATCCTAATCAACTGGAATATCTCTGAAAATAAGAGAAACCTTGTCTTTGAACTCCTCGTTGAAAGCAAAGCGGTTCTCTGGTTTCCCATCTGGCACCTTGTACCTCTTGAACCAGTCCACCGTGGCCTCCAGATAACCAGGTTTGAGCCGCTTGACATCGCTGATGTCTGAATATTGACAGGAACAATAACACAGTCATGGTTTAGCTGATTTAGGGATGCAGTTGCATAAAAAAAAAAAAAAAAAAACGTACTGTTGAATTCCTTGGCTTCGGGGTCCTCTACGTTGATTGCAATAACTTTCCAATCAGTTTCCCCCTCATCGATCATGGCCAAAACCCCGAGCACCTTTACCTTGATGACCTCTCCACGTGTGCACACCTTCAGCAGGATATTGCAGGAGGTCAATTATTTACCAAGTGTCACAAGACTGTGCATAAACAATGAAAAAGAGACAAAGTGAAACATGTACCCTGCTGCCAATTTCACAGACGTCGATAGGATCGTTGTCACCACAGCAGTCAGTGTCTCCATCTTTATGGGCTGGGTCCTCCCATGTCTAAAAAGGCCATAATGGAAATCATTTATTTTTAATGCTAATAATATTTATAACACACACCTAAAGGTTGACAGAGCATATTGACCTGTGGAATTGCCCCATAGTTCCATATGTAGCCTTTATGAGGAAACACATTAGCCACGTAGCGCAACTTCCCCTTCTTCACATCTTGCTTTATTGGATTTAAAAAGTCTTTTGTAGCAATCTGGGGGAAAAAAGTTAGAATTATTGCTTCAAGAAATATTTTCTTTTGAAATTAACAAAGCATAACACTCCAGCAATTAGAAATATGGGAAATGGAGCTCCTAGTTACAAGGCGTCTCTCCTGCAGAACAGATTTCCAGCTTTTGTGTTTGTTGCAGTAACCTTGTTCACTTTTAAAAGCAAAGTACAATTTAGACATGTATCATGAAGTAAAGCCTTAATATTTTCAATGAAAAAAACCCGCAGAATAGTGGCATTTGTTCCAAGATGCAACACTCATCGATCCTGTTCCTGTCTGTTCTATTTAGGATCCTTGATGGTTCTAATCCATCCTGGATGCATTTCAAAAACTTTGTCGCAGAGCACTGATGTATGATGTAGTGTGGCTTAAAGGCATTGGTCGCTGCCCTTAAAATTCCTCTTTTTGAAAAACAAAATTAGGTTATCTAGAGGCATCGCCATAACTATGCTGCTAAAGGATTAGGCTGCTGGAGAACTTTCCTTTATTTTTTTCCCTGTTAGTTTGATAGTAATGCATTTTGTTTCTTCGATTATTGCTGCTAAAACCTTGTTGGTTTTTTTCTTCCTTTGTGTTTATTAAGGCTGTAAAGTTGTTTCTACATTTCTTAGGAAAGTTCTGCAGTTAAATATTGTCTTAAAGCTACAGTGTGTAATAATTACAGGCATATAAAGTCAGAAATTTAATATATTATACATAACTATGTTATTTATCATCACCTATGAGCTCAGCCTTTTAACCTTAATATTTGCGTTGCCTTAGAATTCGTTATTTATAATTACATAGGAGCGGGTCTCGCAGCCATGGAGGCTGACATCTTTGCGCTACGGCAGCGCAGAGGCAACAAACTAGCGATTGCGAGATCTCCCATGACGCTCGAAAATAACTACGGCAAGTTGAGAGAGATGAACTGAGACGGTACTGAACAGTAGATGGCAGTATTATGCCTGAGAAGCGTTTAGTCTGCCTGAAACCGAAGAAGAAGAAGAAGCAGGTATACTGCGCCTCGGTAACAAGAAAGGTAAACAAGGCGGCAGGCGTGAGTGACTTTGCAAACTGTTCGGCACTGTGTGGCCAAACATCAGACGAATGGAGGATCATGCCTACTCTGTATCACAACGAAAAGCGGCGGACACCGAACCCCCGTCATCTAAGAAGCGGAAACACGACGAGAATAAACGCAAGCGTGACAAGAAACGGCAAAAAACACGGATCAACATTGGCACGGCATTTACACGATGGAAGTCACTGATGGAGGAAAAAGGTTTTCAAAGTGACGCTCAAGTTGCCAGTTTTCTCTTGGACAGGTAATTAATCCTACACACACAATTGTCTAATATCACTGCAGTTTTTGGAGTACAGGATGCTCAGACCTGTCTAAAACAATAACATGCTGCGTGATGATGCTGTTACTCTCCAGTATACTTATTCAGCAACGTCCCTGACGTTTCACAGGTAATGATTCAGTAATTTTCTGTAAAATAATTTTCTGGATATATACCTCGGTTACTTCTCTCCGGCTCCTTTGGAGATCTTCAAGCCTTTCCTCCTCTGCTCTCACCCCGCTGGCTCCCCTCTCTCGCCTGGCCCCAGCTGCACGCTCACCCCGGCCTCTCTGCCCTCTTCCTTTCCCTCTTCCTTGCCTTGTAACCCCCGTGCCACAAACAAGACTTGGACTCTGTAAACGGGGAATATATATTCTTCCAACGAACACAATCTCGCTGTTAAACTAATGACTACAATTACTTCGTCTGTTTATATCACCATGCAAAGCAGCTCACCAAAACGTCACAACGACGTAGAAAAAATAACGGGTATATTTATTATCTTAAGTCTACATGAAATCTATACCCTACACAGACTAATGAAATACTATCTGTAAAATTATCTATGTAAACAAACCTCATCACTTGAGAAGGTAGGTGATGCGGACGTCGTGGAAGACATTTTGTCCCGTAACGCTCGCCGTACTGTTGGGGGGGAGAAGCGGTGGGGGGGGAGACGTTCATGTTGCTGCAGTCTGCAGTCTGACCGCTAGATGTCGCTGAAAATTACACACTGTAGCTTTAACAATGTGCAGCCCTACCGCACTCTTTGTTTTTATCACTTTACAGCAGAAGAACTGAGCCTTCTTCTAGTGGACGTTGCTTTCCATCCCTGAGAAACGTGCTTTGGTGGCGCTTGTAATGACCCACGTAAGGAGGGCCTGGTCCTCAACACAGGCGACCCAGGTTCGAATCCTTTCCTGTATGTCTCTCCCCCTCTGTCATACACACTTCATGTTAGCCTACTGTTCAGAAAAACTTGCCACTAGTCCCGTAAAAACTCAAAAGAAAAAAAAAAAAAAAAAAAAGAATCGCGGTTGCTGCAAAAGCTATCATCCCAACCTAAAACAAAATTCAATTAGTTGGAAATTCATCGGTTGTTTTGTGTAAAGCCTCTTGAGATAATGATTCATGTGACCCAGTGCTACACTAATAACCTGGCTGGAGATGTTAGGAAATAAAAGTACAACAAAGTAGAAGGAAATTGAAAGATATGGTTAGCTAATATCCATTAAATACCTCAGTAAATTTACTAAATTACTTTTTCTGAACTTGGGTTTGAGTGGCCCCGCAACTTTACCGTCTTAATAAAACAATTGATAAGGCATTGATAAGAGTGTTACATCAGTTGCATCTTGTTTCACAAGCTCACTTAACTCCAACAGATTACTATTATTTCCGTGCACTTTACCCCCCATGACATGAACGTCTTTTAAGCAGCAAAACATTTCTTTATGCAAACCTTACAGTCTGCTTTTTGTGCTATCTTACCTCCATCTTTGCATTTGTCCATCTGGGTACTTCAACAACCATGTGGAAGATGTTCTAAGACAAAAAAAAAAAAAAACACACACACTTTTGTTTAAAAAACTAAAAAGTTTAAAAACCAAACGTGATTTAACTGTTTTCTTTTTTTAACTGCAGCCATCAGAGATATTGACATAGCCCAGAGAAAGCAAAGAGTAAAGGGTGTAGCTTTTTAAACAGACTATGACCTTGATATATTGTACATAGTATTATCTGAAGCTATTGGGTGCTGCTGCAGAGTAGTCACAGCACTGCATCTGCTGCAGCAAGACTGCTAAAACTGAACTTTGAGGGGGATTTAAAGCTTATATTAGAGCGTAAATATGAATGCAAATTTAAAACAAAGGTTTAAATGGCTCCCTTACCTGGCTTTCATCAGCATATATTGGAATGTCGTGGAATGGAGAGATGTACTTTCCTTCTGCATTTTCTGTATAAGGTAGATGAAATACTATATGAGCAGATCAGCAAAAATAAATATCTGACATAAAAGGTAGTCACAACATTTTCTGAATTTGGGGGAAAAAACTGTTTACTTATCAACGTATTATACTTTGTTTAATGTATTTTATTAATTTTCTTTTTTCTACTTGCTTTGATTCTGTTTTATTTTCCTATATTTTAATCATGTAAAGCACTTTGCATTGTCTTTGTACTGAATTGTGCTATACAAATACATTTGCCTTGCCCTTACTTTGCCAAGTAAGTTTGTCTTACTTTGTCACTGCAGTACGGTTAACCAGAACTGAATAAATGCTTACTCTGGGTATCAATAAAACACATTGATACCCAGAGTAAGCATTTATTTAGTTCTGGTTAACCCTACTGCAGTGACTGTTTTTTGTTTTTCTTACATCTGTTTCTCCTTGATTTATTTAAGCTCAACCATAGCAGAATTGGTGCATAAGAAGCTCCAAAGAGCTCCTTGTCCCTGAGAATATGATCATCAATGCTTTTATTATGTGCAGAGGACGTGGCTCCGCCCTCTTTAGGTTCCTGTGTGACGTGTTTAAACACCTTGAGGGATTTCCTGAAATAGCTTAGTAACTTCAACCTACTAACGAAGTTATTTTTCAGAAAAAAGCTGAAAAGGATGTATGGAACATAAAGATACATCGTTTAAATCTAGAACCCTTTGTTAAAATTAGATCTAAATTAAACATGGATGACTTAAATGTCGCCCTACACAAGATAAAAATAGAGTTCCCATATTTTCACAGTTTCGTCCAAACTAAAATCTATAAAGCATAAATGAATCACTGACACGTGGGAGATTGCAGCTGGCCTATTGTATCAACTAGGAATCGACAAAGTAGCACAGAAAGATAAAAATTAGATGTTTTAAACACTATTTACTTACTGAAGAAAAAGCGGTAACTCAGGGAGTTCGGGTTTCCCCTCTCTTCGACTGTGAAACTCATGTTTAAGGGCCGGTTGCTGGAGTTAGTGCTTCGGGATGAAGGATGGCGGCGGCGGAAAACGACAGCAGCGCCTGGTTGGTGGCAACGGCTAAAGCGCATGCGCAGCACCTTTGATTAGTGGTACCTTCACGGACTGACGGAAAACTTTGATAAGGTTGATGGCAACGATGGTTACTCTTTATTTTAGGATAATTTGAACAGTACTCTTAAGTGCCATGAGCCACTTTTACTATAAGCTTTTTTCAAAAACTACTACTCTTAAATTTAGACAGGGTGTCTGCCTCATGGACCAGTCAATTAGTCCCAATGAGGAAAGTTATTTTATTTTATTTTTTTTATTGAACAAAAAAAACAAATTTACATTTTCAAGTAGGAATCTGAATTTTTCTTTCTTATATAAAAAAGAGACAATTACAGTTATATTCAGGAGATCAACTTAACTTGTGCAAGGCAACAGAAATAAATAGACAAATAAACAGGTACTAATGTTATAACCAATGGAAACATACAAAACTTAAAAAAGAATTTAATTAAAATAAATGACAGATTAATTCTGCAACAAGACAGTTCCTCACATCATGTTAACTTTATCAATTCTGTGAGTCAAAAAAACAGAAATTTTGACATGTCGTTACATAGTTTTTGTATATGTCCATAATTGTCGGCTAACAGAGATAACTATTGAACACTTCTTCTATTGGTGTCGAGTCAAAGGTTGGTTTTGGCACAACCTGCATATTTGGTTAAGCAACAAAATAGACAATATAACACCTTTTGAGACAAATCAAATATTAACATACAAGAACATTGACATTGCGAAGGATTTATCCGACATGGTCAATATTGTCATAAGTATGGGAAGATATCATATACATGTATGTAAATGGAAAAATCAAAAACCTTCATTAATACATTTCAAAAAGAACTCAAAATCTTTATTCAAAGATTTATTCATATCTCTGTTAGTCGACAAATATGGACATATACACATGTCAAAATTTCAGTGTTTTTTTTTTTACTCAACAAAATCTCTAAAGTTAAAATGACGCAAGGAACTGTCTTGTTGCAGAATGAGTGAGTCTCTTTTATTTTAATTTAATTCTTTTTTAAGTTTTGTAAGTTTCCATTGGTTGTAATATTACTGCTTGTTTATTTATTTATGTCTGTTACCTTGCACATGTTAAGTTGATCTCCTGAATATAGCCTGTTTTTTTGTTTTTTTTTTGTTTTGTTTTTTTTTCTAAGAAAGAAAAGTGAAAATTCCTACTTGAAAATTTAAATTAATGTTTTTGTTCAATAAAAAAAAAGGCTAAATATAAAGAACCATGTTTGTGACGTTGCGCTCTGAACGTCATTTCCGGCCGCAGCTCGTCGTGCTTCCTGCCTTGCTGAGGGAGTGGACGGCGCTGACGGCTGGGAGGACGAAAGGAGAGCCAAGAAAGCTTTCGGGAAGCTGTAAAAAAGCAGGGAACGGCCCGGGTTTCCACCGTCCGTCGGGAAATTAGCACCACAGTTTTCTGTAGCTGCTGAATTTGTCACCGAACAGGCACCAGAAGAAAAAAAAATGTCGACCAGTCGTCAGCTTAGCGAGAGCAGGGCCATCCCGACCAGGACGGTGTTGATCAACGACACAACGCAGCTACCTCATGACTACTGTACCACCCCTGGAGGCACTTTATTTTCCACCACTCCTGGAGGTGAGATAACCCCTTTTAATGTGTACATTCATTAGATTTTACTCCTTCTATCTCCACTAAGTGGTAGTTGTCTCAGAGAGCGTGGCCTAGGCTGCCTTGTCATCCTGATCAAAACAAAAACAAAGATTTAGACCCGCCTCTTTGTTCCCTAGCTGCCTCCTGATTGGCTGATTAAGAGCGCAGAGATTCTAATAGTTTCTTTCACAAGGTTCTCATATATCTAGAATTTGTCATTAATAGGTGATTCTGTTATATTGTAACATATAGCAATGGTTCAATTTAAGCCAAATTATAAAAATGCCGATTGCTAAAGATGAGCTATGAACTTTTAAACAGTGTTACCAAAAGTCTACTCTGTGGCACAACTTCACCTTGTTTTAATGATCAGAGGGAGAGAAATTATTAAAATTATTTATTATTATTTCTAAAGATCAGACCTGCTGATTTATCAACCTCTCATGAATCCCTGACCCTGGGCACCATCTACATCAAGCTACACTGTGCAGTGATTTATTTTTCTCCTGTGACAGTACATGGAAATATGGTGCTTTTCTTTGTAATTTAAAAGAGCCACCTAAACAATTATATAAACATATAATGACATGTGTTAGGGTTAGGGTTATATCTCTGTTAGGTTACTGTAAAAACTATTACTGTAAAATATTTACATTTTTGAGAGTATTTGTGAACTTTGAATATTTACATTTAAGGGTAATAAGCTTTGCATTAGTATTTTTCCTGCTTCACAAAGGTAGGCTGCAGCTTGACAAAGCCATGATGACAATTAGTTTACATTCAAGTAGTATGCAGTTCTTCATATATACGCACAAACATTAATTTAAAAACAGATTGTATCGGTATTGGTATCTGCGATAGTGCACAGCCAGGTATCGGGTATTGGGTCAAAAAATGGCATTGGTGCAACACTAGTATTATCTATGTACTAAAAACACTGAAATCATAATATTTCCAAAATAGCACACTAGTAATCCGTGAGAAAGTTTAGGACTTGTCGAGATGTTTTTATTCTTTCCCAGTTTTAAGCATTATATATTTGACATTATTTTCCCAGCGTTTTTATTGTCATAACATTGCTACAAGTACAGAGCAACGAATTTCACTCTTTGCATTTAACCCATCCCCTTGGGGAACAGTGGGCTTCCTTTTGCAGTGCCCGGGGAGCAGGATGGGTTTTAGGGTCTTTTGCTCAGAGACCAGGAGTGGCAGTCTGTGGGAGTGGGTTTTGAACTCACAATCTCTGGAATCCAAGCTCCCCCCCTTAATGTATCACACTGTTTCATTAGGGGAGCACATTTCTGTGAATTAAAGCGTATTTTCTGAATTCGTTCTTGCAAATCTTAAGTTTCTTAAACAGAAATAACAGTATGAATTCTTTAGTTTTAAGGTTTGTGCTTGTTGAGCAGGGAAACGTGATTAATATACACCTTCTTTACTTAAAAAAAAAGTAAAACAGTAAATGTTGGATTTTTGCTTTTTCAATTTTATTGAATAAGATAAGACTTTCTTGTCTTTAACCACACCCTGGATCGTTTGTGGACAACATAACTATCATGAAATCTCTACACAACAATAAGCATGCAAACATGTACTCTATCCATATTTTTAACTGTTTTATAACTTGCAAGCTTTTACATTCCATCCTGAGAAAACTGAAGAAGTAAGGATTCAGTGTGTTCCTTGAGAGCCGGTTAAATGTGTGTGAACAGGCTCTTGCTGCACCCTCTCAGAGTATTTATCATGCAATTGGGAGGGGAGATCAGCAAAATAAACCTCATGTGTCTCCTGGCAGGAACCCGGATCATTTACGACCGCAAGTTTCTGCTGGACAGGCGTAATTCCCCCATTGCTCAGACCCCTCCTGCACACCTGCCTGTCATCCCTGGAGTGACCAGTCTACATGTTCTGAATGAGAACCAGAAGAACGAAGCCAACAACCACATCAAAAACCATGAGGGCAAGCCCGCTACAGGTGGGAGTTACACCAAAAGACTCTCATCTCTTTTGTTTTCTAATGTGTTACATCTATTTTTTGAAGTGGCAACATTTAGGTGAAAATAACTGAACAAGATGATCATAAATCCAATTGGCTTGCCAACTTGAATGACCTACATGGACAGACCAGGTTTAAAATAGAAACCTGCAGCTTTTGACGTGATGTTAAGGCGTATGCCAGTAGGTCAAACTATTAGCAGGAGAAAAAACATTTCAGGAAACAGCTGAAAATAGCTATATGACAATCTGAAAGGCAGTTGCAACATCACAGCCTGGAGGTGATAAGGAAACAAGCTGAGCAGCATAGCCGTTTTTGTCATGCACGCATAAGGCATTGTTCTAGTTAAAGTTACTGTTATTAATCAAGTCCCAGCTTGTGTGTTTGAAAAAGACAGTTTAACAAACTCGATTCAGTCCCATTCATTTATATAGCAGCAATTAAATAAAAGCACATCATCTCAAGCTGGACTGTGATAAATAAAAATCGATTTTCCAATTTTTGACTGATTCTCACATTGATTCATAAAGATCGATTTAAAAAAAAATGCATTTTCCACTGTTCTTACAGCCACCAATAACTACTATTGCTTCATTAATTTACAGATGATTGTTAATGCAATATTAGTATCAATTTGTTGCATAACTACATGCATGTAGCATGTAATACATCTAATGGCTAAAAAGGCATTTAATAATACCTAAGTTTAATAAAAACTTTGAGATCAGACCCAAATCAACTGAGAAAGAATCAATTCTAAATCTTGAGAATCAGAATTTAGTCAGTTCTTATACTTCAGTCAACACCTGGCTGTGATCTAGAAGACCTTTAGAGAAACATTCGGTTACATTTTAGAGACAAAATGGTTACCGTATTTTCACGACCATAAGGCGCACCGTACTAAAAGGCGCACTCTCAGTTATGTGTCCCATTTCTGTATTTAACACACACATAAGGCGCACCGGACTATAGGGCGCGTTTTTTTATATACCGGTACATGTCCTCTACTACCTTTAAATACCTCTACTGCGTATTTAAAAATACAGCGGGGGCAAAACTGAGTATGATTGTGCTTTATTCATGTATTTATTACAAAGTATTAATCAAACCTGGCAGCTGGCCATGAGACGGACACATCGCAGATGACACAGCGCTGTGATCACTCCTAAATTAACTTAAAATCCTGAAACCTGCCGACGGAATATGTTCGCTTTTATTAACGGTATCCTGGTGCCTGCAGCTAAAATTATTTAGATGAAAAACACCTGCCAGCAGCCGCCGGTGAACTTGGAGGCTGCTGATGAAGAGATTTCTGCTGTCGGTGCACCGCTGGTATGTGGGGGTCTGAGCGCCTCCGACAGAAATAGATAATCTGGATGAACTGACTGCAATTATGAAGTTTTCAGGTGGCCTTTCTCACTTAAAAACATATTAAAACTACTTTATTCCCACTGATCACAGCAAATATAGCTGCAAGATTTAGATTATTTAGATGAAAAAACACCTGCCAGCCACCGCGGTGAAGAGGAGGAGACGCGCCCAGAGGCTGCTGTTGAATTAAGTTTTCAGGTAGAAAAATAGAGCGGGAGCAAAACTGAGTATGATTGTGCTTTATTCATGTATTTATTACAAAGTATTAATCGAACCCATCAAAGTCATCATCCTCTGTTTCTGAATTAAACAGCTGCGCTAAATCAGACATGCCAATTTCCCCTTCTTCGCTGTCAGTCACTTTCCGTGCAGCGCAGCTCCTCAGAAATAATGCCGGCTTTTGCAAAAGCTTGAAGAACAGAGCCAGCAGACACGTTAGTCCATCTGCAATCCATCCGCAAACGGTGGCGTAACTTGCCCGGCGCTGCCTTCCACTTATCCTGAAACTGTGGTCTCCGTCTGTCATCCATCGCTCCCACGCCGCTCGCAGCCTTACTTTGAACGGGCGCTTCACACCGACGTCGAGCGGTTGAAGTTCCTTTGTCAGACCCCCGGGATAACGGCGAGCACAGCGTCCATTTGATTCACCTTTTTTTTCACATCAGCTGTGAGATGGGCACGCATGGAGTCACATAAAGCGATGGTGATGCGTGGAAAAAAACCACCTGGTCTCCTCACATAGCCTACACCTCCCTCAGCCACGCTTTCATCATCTCATCCATCCAGCCCTTTCATTTGCTTTAAAATCATTTGTCATCAGAGCGCTGTGTCTGTCTCGCTGTCAGCTCCCAGATCAGCTTCTCTGATTGGTTGATGCGGCGCTTCCAGCAGCAAAACTTCAATTTTTTCCATCTCGAGCAGCAGCAGCGCGTTGGCGGTGCGCTCCCGACTCGCTGCTTCTGCTGCACCTGCTGCGCTGCGGGACCTTTTGCTGCGTCTATACGCTCGTCAACCGTTGACTTTGCATGTAAACTCGCTGCTTCTGCTGCACCTGCTGGGTCCGGTTCACAGCGAGCACAGCATTAATTTGTTTCATCATGTTTTTCACATCAGCTGTGAGATGGGCACGCATGGAGTCAGATTAACAGCGATGGTGTGGTGATGAGTGGAAAAAAAAACACCTGGTCTCCTTACATTCAGCCACTCTTTTATCATCTCCTCAATGAGGTGGTCTCAAAAGTCGCAGTTGCAACACACAGGGCGCACCGCACCATAGGGCGCACCGCACATTTTGAAGGGAAAAAAAGACGTTTATGTGCGCCTTATAGTCGTGAAAATACGGTAGATGTTTTCTATCTAAGAAACCCCAGCAGGTTGCATCGAGTCATTGGCTGCAGATAGCAGACGTTCACTTGCATTGGGATGTTGACCGTGCAGCAATCCCATAAATTGTTTATAACTGAGCTGTTAGTTGCACAGTATTTATTGACTCAGTAAACGTTTTCTACATATATGGTGTGTTTTTTTGTTTTTTTTTTTAAACATTTTTTTTCTATGTAAATTAGCTGCTTTTTTATTTCTATTTTATCTTGACAGTTTTAATCATTTCTAAGGATGTCATTCCTTAATGACTACACAATGTTTTCTGAGTTTTTACCTTTTATGCTCTTTTTTTTATGTATAACCTCATTTGTACCTGCATGCCTCTATTTTTTATTGCTTGGCTGCTGACTTACTCTCTAAAGTAAACATCTGTACATTGTACACGTTACACAACGCCTTTAAAAGGACTGACGATTTCCTGGTGTGACATGGAGCAGTAAATTTGAAGAGAAAAAATGGCTTCTGTTGGGAGAACTAAAATATTGTGTAGATATTTCATAATTTGTTTCCCTGCAATTTATAACTATCAGGTGAACGTAATTTTGATTGGATAGATGCCGCTTCCATAACAACATGACTGTCAGCATCTTTAACAGTTATACCTCCTTCTACAGGCAGCTGTTCTCAGCATGTGTATCTAATGTGTCTTGCACCTGTGTGCAACTGTTAAGGATTTTTAATCAGATTAAACATATACTTTCATTATTTATTCTTCATTAAAAAAGTAACACTTTTTATTACTTTTTTAGAAATTCTGAAAAGCTATTATTTCTGTTTTGAGTTCTGTTACCTCAGTCCTTCAGTTATGTCAGAATTTGTATTTGAATCACTTTGTCCTAATATGAATAAAATAGAAATTTGTTTTCTCTAAGTGGGGACATTGGTGTAAAGAAAACAGTCACCTCCATAAAATGCACACACAGACAAAAATAAAACTTGCAACACATCTAAAAATAGATTTTAAGAAGAGGAACATAGTTAATTAAGGAGCTGCCGTGACAGGCGGCCATTCAGGCTTTCTAATGAAGGTTGTGCCGATTGATTCCTCATTAACCATCAGGACTTAAAGCTACAGTGTGTAATAATTACAGGGATATACAGTCAGAAATGTAATATATTATACATAACTATGTTATTTATCATCATCTACAAGCTCAGCCTCTTAACCTTAATCTTTGCGTTGCCTTAGAATTCGTTATTTATAATTACATAGGAGCGGGTCTCGCAGCCATGGAGGCAGACATCTTTGCGCTACGGCAGCCCAGAGCCAACAAACTAGCGATTGCGAGATCGCCCATTACGCTCGAAAGTAACTACGGCAAGTTGAGAGAGATGAACTGAGACGGTACTGAAATCTATACCCTACACAGACTAATGAAATACTATCTTTAAAATGATCTATGTAAACAAACCTCATCACTTGAGAAGGTAGGTGATGCGGACGTCGTGGAAGACATTCTCTATTATTCGGTAAAAATGGGGACTAGATGAAGCCTCCTGAGGCCCTGGGGCTTTCAGTGATGCTTTATTTGCTCTATGCTGCCATCAAGTGGACAATAAATATAAAACAGGCATTGGGATTATAATTGCACGATTTTTTTTTTTTTGTAGGCTTCTCTTTATATTGAGTAAATAACTAAATAGTATTAGTTGTAAACATGAATCTTTATGATACAATTGTCTGAACTATGAACAAGGGCTGTGATCCTCAGGTCTTGCAATCCATTTTTCCTCTTTCTTCTGGAAAATGACTGGAAATCTAGAAATTGTCACTTCATGCTGATGCTCCTTGTATGCCCTCTGGTACAAGCTAAAGCTTTTTCGTACACATTTCATCGAAATATCTGAATGATACCTGATATGGGACATGAATTCTGTCTACTGTAGCAGCATTTAAAAAAGGCTCCTATATTTCACTTTTGCTGCTCATTGTTTATCGTTATTTATGAAATAATAAAATTTCTCTCTGCTTTTCTTCTATCTTTAAGCTGAAGACGCCCAGTTTGAAATGGACATCTAACCACCTGGATCCGCACCAGCTTAAGAAAATAACCTGGCACTGAATATGCCAGTGGCTTGGCTTGTAGTAACCAATGTTGTGAGCCCTCATGGCAGCCATCTTTGTTAGCTCTTTGTCTCACTGCTGGGTGTAATGTGTGTAAACCCAGTATGATTTAGTATACCATACATTCACATAATTAGTGGCCGAGTCAGAAAATTTGGCTTTGTCTGACTGAAAAAAATTTTTTTTGAGTAATAATTTTGAATTTAAGAGGGACCTCAATATTTTGCATCCAAATAATTGTTAGTTTACAGCTTTCTGTTAGAAAATCATCATTATTCCATATTAATTTAAGTAAGAATTGGTACTGTTTTGCCCCTAGAATTGCTTAAAAGCATTGATATTCTTCCATCTTTGTTTTTAAAGACTCGATTTAGCACGTCATTTATGTGATAATCCTTACTTGAATAACTCTAGGATCCATAACCGGGTGGATCTTTTAGTTTCCAGTTATTAAAACGAATGCTGTTATTCTTTTTTTTCCATTGTAGAATATTTTAACACCATTCCAAGATTATAGTTTAAAATGTCCTAACACTTGGCTGCTAAATTTACTTCAGAAATTTCCAGGTGAAATTTTTTTTTTAACAAATTTTTTCAAGAATTTATAAAATTTGAGATGATCGGATGATTAAATTTTAATTGATGCATAAAACATTTGATAAATTTAAACTTAAGTTTCTAAAATAAAGCCCAGCCTTCGCTCAGATCAGTTCTAATAGGAGGAGGTACATGGAAGAACATGGCTGGTTTGGAAATCTTCAGACATCAAATGGGTTAATATTCCTCTTTACACTTTTTGGTGGTATAAAAAAACACACAACACTTGAATGAATTGAAATGTTTTATAAACATTTTATATTTAAATATGATTTGTTAGTATTGGGGCTTTACTAAGGTGTTCCATCTGTCCAAGCCTTTTTAGATTTGTTGTCAAGGAAACAGAAAACCCTGTTTGCAGTGGGCTCTTAAAGATGCTGTCCCTATCCAAACATCAATCTCTTTGACATTATTATTTTGATGCATCCTGCCTGCCCATGCCTTATCTAACATGAAATGCAGTGACCAGTTTTCTTGCCATCGATTTGTACTTTCCGACAGATGTTTATTTTTTCAAAGCGGCATTGAAACAGGTTATCTGTTGCTCCACCAGAGGGCAATGTATTTTAGTTTCTTGGTAATTTTCTTACTCAGATTAGTGTGAAGTTTTGGAGCGTGATCACATTAAGTCATTAAGAGTCAATGGTAAAAGTGCCACTCCTCCATTTTAACCCAGTTATTACTCTATTTGTTTTACCCCTAGGTTCTTATTGGCAAAGACATGAAGAAACAGATACTGTTTTTATTCTATTTTATTTCTCTCCATTTGACTGGGAACTTTGTCAAATATTTTATATTCCCTTTAGCTTTGTAATTACCTTTAGCAAGTCTGGTGAAAAATTAACTCACAGGTTGCTTAAAATTATCTTAACATTTCACCTTTTGGCCGATAAGTCTTCATGCTGAGGCATCACAGGTGGCAAATTAATTTCCAATCAATTTAATTCAACGACGAGGGCTTAACAATATTTGTTGAAGAAAATTAAAGACAAACTTACTGTAACCTTCTGTTCTGATTTCAAAATAACTTTATTTCAAAGAAACTCCAATGAAAATGGACACCGTTGCTGCAAGATCAATAAAATTCTGAAACAGATTCTGTCTTCCTGTTTTTTGTTTTTTTCCAAAATTTCTGCACATGCAAGATATTTTGCAGCACTGAGCATGATAAAGAATAAATGTTTGGAGATGTTTATCTCAGGTCCTGATGGAATAATGGTTAAGTAAAAGAAAACGACTGAACCTGACTTGGGGAAAGCTATTCTGCCTGTATTGGTAAAAGGGTAACAATTGTGAATTTGCATGGTGTTACAACAATTTAATCCATGCAGTATAATGTTTGTAAAGTTATGTGAGGTTGTATTAGATTATTTTAGTGTTTTTGCATTCTTTCCTTTGCATTCTTTCATTCCTGTTAAGTGAACATACTGAATTCACTCAAATTGCAGTAACTATTTTTTTAAAAATGACCTGGAGAACACGTCTTGCTGAAATGTAAATCAAGGTAAATAAGGTGGACTTGCTTGAGTTTAGCAAATTTTTGAGGGCTGGGATTTTTTTAGCAGCTGCGGTCCTATGATATCTGTGGAAATTACAATATTTTAAAAGGAAAGGAGTCCCACAGCCGACTGGCAATTCTGTGATTGTGTCTCCAACCGTCCAAGTGAAATGGACCAGGAGCTTTACAGAGGCTCATCAAAATAAAGACAAATTGGATATTAACTCATTTTTGCTTAACTAAACTCAGGAAATCTGTAATATTTGGGTATACATTCTTAGAGTTTTCTGTAAATATTTACAGTCCACTGAAACAGACAATGTCATCCATGGCATGCCTTCTTCTGTTAGATATCAAGTCAGGTTTATTGATGTTCCTGAGACACCAGTCTTGCAATATTGTATATTTTTATATTTCATACACAATTCATATATGAGTGTGATCTTTTAAAATTTTAAAAATTTGTTTTACCTACTTTGTGTCCATTCTAGGGCTGCACCTAAGCATTATTTTGAAAATGACTAATCTGTTGATAATTTTTTCGATTAACTGATTAATAATCAGATAGCCAAAGGTTCCTTAAAGAAGACTTTTTGCAAAATTAACCCAGGTGAGACTAAAACTTTTCCACTTGAGGAGTTCTGGACAGGGCATATTGACAGATCAAAAAGAATTTTATCTTAAAAGCAAAATGTTTTTTATTATATTGGTATAATTGCTGCTCAAGGTAAGTTGCTCTGTCAGCTAAAGGCAATTAGTCGATTACTAAGTTAGCTGACAATTATTTGAATAATTGGTTTATCCGATTAATTGTTTCCACCCTAGTCAGTTCCTCCGAAGATTTTTGTAAACATCAGTTCATTTTGCACATGTTTTTATTTTATGTTATTTTTCGTGTGGTTGGAATAGTTTTTCAGGTTACTGATTAAATCAGTGAAATAAATAAAATGAAAAATAACAGCTTTTTTCAACGTTTCAGATAATGTAGATCTCTAACTTAATACTATAAAACTATAAAAATGCTTAATTCTAAATAAACTATTGTAATTTTTATAAAATAGATTTGTTTAGAATGTTTCCCAACATAATTTTCACAAATTTAATTTTTTTAAAATTAGGACTTATTTACCTGTATAACTTGTTAGTCAAGTAAGCCATAAAAGCTTGTGGGGGGAGTAATCATCTCATATATATATGAGTGTGAAAATGCTAAAAATATACTTTTACTAAATACATACGTAGATTTGCGTATTTTACGTCAGGCAGTACCACTGCACTCCCTCTTTGGTTTTGTGCAGGCATTAATCCGGGCACCCGCTGGTCCTTCCTCCTCTTTTACGTCCCTGAGCGAGGCCGGCGTCAAAATGGTGAGTGTTGGAGAGAAAACTACAACTAAAATCCGTATAATATCAAGGGCATCCGTACACCAACACATCTGTTCAACATATTATATGATAGTTCTCACTTTCTTTATAATAACTTGTCAATATAGGTCAGCAATAAAAAGTTTAAGCAACGTTTATTAACACAGTTTGAAATGTAGCAAATCTGATCACTGCCTGGCTAATATAAACGCCTGTTCTCCCTGCTTTAATCGAGTTTCAATAATTTTTGTCATATTCGCCGTCACAATTAAATCGGATATGTATCCCCTGATTTGCGGAGTTTTTTTAAAGTGTAAGATCTTCGTTATCTCGCTAAGCTAATGTTAGCGTCCACAGTGATGCTAATAGCGCGGCCCATGTGTGAGAACATGTTAAAATAACTAGAGCTGCTGCAGCTGGTTCACTCAAATATAGTAATATAGCAGTCTGGCTATGAAAGAACTTGATATCAGTTAATTTTTATTCCAAACTACCAGAGATTGGTAATTCCTAAGGTAATACTTCAACGTATTTGTACTTGTTAAGTGCCAAGTAGTAAAAATCTGTTAGAAGTATTGTCCTTAGTTGTAGAATTTGTAGACCTGTATGAACCTGATCAGTTTTGCTTGTACACTTTTATAAAGTCGTTGTCTTAAATCAGTGTATTTAAACAATCTGTTTAAGTGTAGGTGTATTTATCAGTTATAGAAGCCATATAAAATCAGAAAAGTCAAACTGCTTGTATGTTTAAAATAATGGCTGTGAGTTAGAAAATCCCAACAGAAAATATGTTGGCCTCTTTTGCAGCAATTGAATGATTAGGTTGTTTGAAGCCAACAACAATGTAATTGAGGTAAATATGTAGAATATAGCAGTGGAGGAGAAATTACATGTCTTTAATTTTTTTGCGACAGTTTATTTGCTCTTTTTGGTTGTCTAAACTCTTGTTTTTTTGTGCCAAAGTTAAGCTGCCTAATTCTTTTAAATGCATCAGATGCACCTACTGACTGAACTCCAGCTCCACGAGAGGCTCTTTACTTACTACATATTTCGGAAAATTTAACATCTTCAGGAATTGATAATTGCTAATGCTTTCCTCTCTGTCGCTTGCATCAAATTAAATGTACTGAATAAAGCTAACGGCTGCGGCTTCTTTTTCGCTTCCACAGAACGACACAGTAACAGTCAGGACCCGCAAGTTTATGACGAACCGACTGCTTCAGAGGAAGCAGATGGTAATTTCTCACATGTTCAGCCAGCATCTTCATAATGTGTCTTACAAGCAAGATGTTCATTCTTCGCTTTTATGTCTTTGTAGGTTGTTGATGTCCTCCATCCTGGCAAGGCCACAGTCCCCAAGACTGAAATCAGGGAGAAGCTTGCTAAGATGTACAAAACCACCCCCGATGTTGTATTCGTCTTTGGCTTCAGGACTCAGTTTGGTGGTGGCAAGACGACAGGCTTTGCCATGGTCTACGATTCTTTAGACTACGCCAAGAAGAACGAGCCCAAACACAGACTTGCCAGGGTGAGTTTGGAACAATTTTCCTGTGAACCTCAACAGACTGAAAAAAAGGAGTATATTTTGGCGTTTCTACACAACTTTCAAGGTGGTGCTTAGCATTAAAGTACAACTTGATTTGAATAATTTTGTAGGTAAGGAATGTGGTTTTATGAAGTTTTTTGGTGATGAAAAAGGTGGTTTCATCTGTGTGCTTAAATTGTTTTTGAAACGACACAATCAGCATTGAGAACTTAAATAGCTTGACCTGTTCTAGTAGAAATCTTGGCGTTGAGGCTGATTTGAATTTAAGATTTCCCTTTAGTTGTGCAGTTTAACTTAAAGAAATTACTGACTCATATGAAGTATGCTGCTGTTGGTGCATGTATGTATTGCAGACATGCAGCTAAAATTCCAGGATTTTTAGGTATTACTGCAAGCCTTTCTGCTGCTTTTCATACCTGTAAGTCTTATGTGCCTGCCTGCTCAGTCATTACTGCACCAAAGCAGTTTGCCGTTTGAACTTGAAACTGTTTTTTAACGTAAGGCTCGGTCCACTTACAGTATGGGGAATGTTGCGTCACTGTCTTGAGGTGTCTTCAGTTCCAGACCTTGAGGCCTGGTGTTAATGTTAATGTTAATGATGCATCTCCACTGGAATGTACCTGAATCAAATATTTAGGCCATTAGTAGGACTCTTGTTAAAAATGAACCCATACTGAGCAGTTAATTTGAATATTTAATTTGGTCTGGAAGCAGAGGTGCATCTAAAAGGTGCAGGATGCCTCGAGGACTGGAATTGAAGACCCCTGTTATAGAACGTATTTGAGACTTGATATTGGTTAGATAATGTTTGATATCAGGACAGTCCCCCTCCTATTGATCTGTTGTCAGCATATTCTTTTCAGCTTAAAATCAGCCTAAAGTTTCCATAGTGTATTAAGGCGTTTGTAAAACTCTGGGATTAGATACAAAGCAAAAATAATCTCAGGAGTATAGAGCAGAGACCAGAAGACCATCTAATCTGGATTCTTTTAGTTACCCTTTTCAGTAGAATCTAAAAAGGATAATGACCTGCTACGTGGCCTCAATTAAGACACTCAACTTTTTCAGATGGGTCACAGCGCTCAGTCAGAAGGAAATTCACACCTTTTCTTTTTTTTTGGCAAGCTGTTGCTAGATTGCACAGGTAAATGCTCCTATTAGCTGTGATTACCAAAACAATTTACAATTTATATCGGTTCCTAAATATTGATTGTTTTGGCCATAGATTGGTAAATAATGCATGTGTCACTTGGCATTCACGGCTCACACATTTAGGTTCACTACTATCACTTTATTAATTTGCTGTTCCATGTTAATATATCACTAGTATCTATATTTTGCATAACTAAGCACTCACAGTCAAACATATTTGACGGTAGTAATCAAATTTGAGATTAAAACAGATTCTAGATCTTGATAATCTAAAACCAATTGGTTCTTGAAATTTTAATGGATAACTGGCCCTAATGTTTGCATGCTTAAAATTTCTCAATCGAATTGAAAAACAAATAAAAAAAAACAGATTGCTCCATTATATGAAAATAATAGGAATAGCATAGCCTATTAGACTAAAAATGCGCCAAATTGAACATGCTGATAACATGTAGCCACCTTCAGAGGGGTTTGTGTTGAAGCACGGACACCTAGGTCAGCTTTACCCGAGCATCATAACTCAATCCTGATGATAGTTTCCATCCATGTTGATCAGATTTTCAATTGACATAAACCAACCTTCGCAGGCAGATTACAATTTCATTATGATCCTGATGAATCTGATCAGATTCTGAATTGCATTTTTGCGCAACACTTTTTTTTTTCTCCCCAGCTGTTTATTCAGATTACTCGTGTCCAGGTAACCATATCTAGATTACCAGGGGCATGAGTAAAAGTTTTGGGGTTATATGACCCTCTAGTGACCTTTGTCAAGATTCCTTCAAACTTGACAGCTGAATTAGAAGCACTTGTCTGGAGTGTAAAGTAAACCCTGTGTATGTTGATAATGAAGAGCTGTGATGGTAATTGTTTTTGTTTTTTTTTTCTTAGCATGGTCTGTATGAGAAAAAGAAGACCTCAAGGAAACAGCGCAAGGAACGCAAGAACAGAATGAAGAAAGTACGAGGCATCAAGAAGGCCAGTGTTGGAGCTGCTGGCAAAAAGGTATTGTGATAATGAAACACATTAGTCCTATTATTCCAGGAGATTGTCCTTACTAGAACTTGTGATCTTCTGAAGTCAGTTCCTTTCATATCTATGCTTTTTCAAACATCTTTAAGATCTTTTTTTTTTTCACTGCTTTTCACTATTTTAATTTCTTCCTCATCTTTCCAACTTTATCTCAATGTCTTCGGGAACTTTAGAAGGTAAATGTATCCCATAAGAGGATTAACTGCACTGTGCTGATAATCCTGGCTTGATAGATGGCAGCTAACTCCTGCCTTTGTCTAACAGAGAAGCCAGAGTGCTTTTCCTGTTGGATGTAAAAGTTGCATCCAATGTTGAAATATCTGAGCCATAGTTTGTCAGCGAGCTAAATCCCCTCCTGCTACTAATCAGTGCTACAGCTAAGCTAATGTGGTAGCTTTTAGTTTTGGACATCCCCTTGTGTAGTTTAGTAGTATCCTGTTCATCCCTCCACCCCAGTAAATTTGTAGATTTACAAAGCTGGCTTTCCTTAACGTATTTTACACGTTCACTTTGTTATTCTGGCTATTAGCTTAATTATTAATAATATTCTTGGCTGTATAATGACTTAGGTCCTGGGTGTGGTGAATGCAGCCTTTATGTAGGTTTATTCAGGGATATTTTCTATTACATGTTTAAACTTTAACATGTCAATTTTATTTTGTTCCACTTTTTGTTCCTCACTTTGCTTCCCATGGATTTCTTTTACAGAAATGAAGTTTTCAGTTTTGCAGGTATCAAAGTAGAAAAGCATGGTGTGCTGTTGTAATGCACATCCTAAACTGACAGCCATGAGCAGTGTCATGCATGTCACACTACTTTCCCAGTAGTTTTCCTCAAGTCTGTGTTCTCCTTTAGTTTAGTCTTTCTCTTCTATAATGTAATTATTTACTGGGCTTAACCCTGTCTTTGCTTAGATTCAAACAAAATATTTTTATTAATTGAAATCTTTAGCTAATTGGACCAAAGATGGAGTGCTGCATGTTGGTAAAAGGTTTTATGGTGTGTGCTTGTAGGGACGGGGCAACTGAATCTAAAGCTTGTGTGTGAATATTTAACTTTGAAACATGTCCTAAAATCTGATGAGCTTTACTGTTTGAAATAATTGTCTGCAAGTAACGAATACAAATTATCCTGCTGCTGTCGTCTGTTAAATTTGCTTTGAAACTAATGCTTCTGTTTTCTCCTTGCAGTGAGCCCGGACAGCCAGCGGGTGTCTTCATGCTCAAGATGTTCTTGTATATTGTCATCAAATAAAAACTTTTGGGGGAAAAAATGACCGACTACTGTTTGCTGGTATTGAATTATTTCTGCACAGATCACATTTTTAACCCTGTCTCTTAAATTTAAGCTTATAGATAATTCATATCCAAAATAGAAAGCTACTGATTGGGCTTAAATTAATACTTCTCTTAAAAGGTTACAACAGTATAGTTTAATCCAAGGTACAGTAATAATGAAACTAGATCCAGGGTCTTGGAGCAGTATTAAAAATAAAGAACTGGATAATATAATTTTCCAGGTGTGGACAAGTATTTAAAAAAAGTATAACAACCATAGGGTACCTTTTTGTTCCAATGATTCACTAAATCTTTTAAATTGCCACACATCTTCAATTTCCAATAACTTTACAGATGAGCCAATACCATCAAATGGGGTTTTAGCAACAAAACAGACCTTTTAAATCTGCAAAGTTACGGGATTTGTTTTGTCAAACAGTAACCAAGTAATTTGAACCATCCAGATATATTTTTTTTTTCCATAGGTTGCATTTTTCCAGTGGATGGTATGAAATTCATAGTTGCACCCTAAATATAGACAATCGTTTTAAACTTCGACATGAAGTAGATTTTTCTTTAAAAGCCTCATTCTTCCTGTTAACATTGATTAGTAACATGCATTAATAGGATAAAGAAATACTTCACATCAAGTTCCTGTAGGATGATTTTACTTTAGAGCAGACTGAGTAACAATTATTTGGTCAGAATTAGAATATTTGCTCAGATAACTGGCCTCCAGTCAGCAGCTAAACACCCCTTTAAAGGCTTTCACAAATCATGGTAAATGCTCCTGTCATTCCCACAATAGAGGATGGAATTGCAGAATCTTATGTGTGGTGTACCGTATGTAAATATTTAAATTGACTCCCTAATATGAGTTTCCCTCCTTATGTACAGGTGCTGGTCATAAAATTAGAATATCATGAAAAAGTAGATTGATTTCAGTAATTCCATTTAAAAAGTGAAACTTGTATATTATATTCATACATTACATACAAACTCATATATTTCAGATGTTTATTTTGTTTAATTTTGATGATTACAAATGACAACAAATGAAAATCTCAAATTCATCATATCAGAAAATTAGAATATTACTGAAGACCAATAAAAACAAAGGATTTATAGAAATGTTGGCCAACTGAAAAGTATGAACATGAAAAGTATGAGCATGTACAGCACTCAGTATTTAGTTGGGCCTCCTTTGGCCTGTATTACTGCAGCAATGCGGCGTGGCATGGAGTCGATCAGTCTGTGGCACTGCTCAGGTGTTATGATAGCCCAGGTTGCTCTAATAGTGGCTTTTAGCTCTTCTGAATTGTTGGGTCTGGTGTATTGCATCTTCTTCTTCACAATACCCCATAGGTTTTCTATGGGGTTAAGGTCAGGAGAGTTTGCTGGCCAATTAAGAACAGGGATACCATGGTCCTTCAACCAGGTACTGGTAGCTTTGGCACTGTGTGCAGGTGCCAAGTCCTGTTGGAAAATGAAATCTGCATCTCCAAAAAGTTGGTCAGCTGCAGGAAGCATGAAGTGCTCTAAAACTTCCTGGTATGTGGCTGCGTTGACCCTGGACCTCAGAAAACACAATGGACCAACACCAGCAGATGACATGGCACCCCAAACCATCACTGACTGTGGAAACTTTACACTGGACTTCAAGCAACGTGGATGAAGTGCCTCTCTTCTTTTCCTCCAGACTCTGGGACCTTGATTTCCAAAGGAAATGCAAAATTTACTTTCATCAGAGAACATGACTTTGGACCACTCACCAGCAGTCCAGTCCTGTTTCTCTTTAGCCCAGGCAAGACGCTTCTGACGCTGTCTGTGGTTCAAGAGTGGCTTGACACAAGGAATGCGACAGCAGAAACCCATGTCTTTCATACGTCTGTGTGTGGTGGTTCTTGAAGCACTCACTCCAGCTGCAGTCCACTCTTTGTGAATCTCCCCCACATTTTTGAATGGGTTTTGTTTCACAATCCTCTCCAGGGTGCGGTTATCTCTCTTGCTTGTACACTTTTTTCGACCACATCTTTTCCTTCCCTTCGCCTCTCTATTAATGTGCTTGGACACTGAGCTCTGTGAACAGCCAGCCTCTTTAGCGATGACCTTTTGTGTCTTGCCCTCCTTGTGCAAGGTGTCGATGGTCGTCTTTTGGACAACTGTCAAGTCAGCAGTCTTCCCCATGATTGTGTAGCCTATAGAACTAGACTGAAAGACCATTTAAAGGCTTTTGCAGGTGGTTTGAGTTAATTAGCTGATTAGAGTGTGGCACCAGGGGCCATCAATTTTGAACCTTTTCACAATATTCTAATTTTCTGATATGATGAATTTGAGATTTTCATTTGTTGTCATTTGTAATCATCAAAATTAAACAAAATAAACATCTGAAATATATGAGTTTGTATGTAATGTATGAATATAATATACAAGTTTCACTTTTTAAATGGAATTACTGAAATCAATCTACTTTTTCATGATATTCTAATTTTATGACCAGCACCTGTAGAAGTTAAAAAATATCCAGACTATTGACTGCAGCAGATTATCACAGACATGATCCCAGGGCGGTAAAGAGTGTAAGAAAGAGAAAATGGGAAAACCTTTTTGATGGTGATTGAAAATCACAATTTACACTAAAATAAGCATTGGGTTATTTTCTGTCATGCATTTATACCAGTGCAGCCACTATGTTGCTTCATGCAGCCTGAGCACAAATCATGTCAGTAATTCAAACAGACCATAAACAGAGTTTACCACTGTTACCTTTTGCAATAAATGACCCAGTTATTTAATCTAAATGATAAAAACAAAAAAAGAAAAAAAAACTTAGTTGAAATTAGTAAAGCAGAAACATTTTGGAGAACACAGAAAAGATGCAAATTTTGATTTAAAGAAACATACTAACCAGTGTGAAGAAAGGTAGCTTCTCGGTTTAAAACACTTTTAGCAGTTTTATCACTACTGGCAAACTATTTAAATTATTTCTATTACTGAGGTCCATATTCTGCATTTTTACAGTGATGTAACTTCCATTTCTGATCATTGATCTAGAGTTGAAACAGATAACTGCCTGAGAGTGGCTGCGACTGTAATAATATAAATGACCACATGGGGGCTCCCTTCTCCACCAACTCAGACTTGGAAAAAGAAAACATGGGTTGGTGGAACAAAGAATCGAGTAATTCACCTTTTTTAGGCTTGTAAATATCAAACAGCCAAGCTAGTGTGTCGACTTTACTTAAAAAAAAAAAGTGTTTATGAATAAACAACTTCAGAAATGCAGAGAAGTGACCTTTTCAGATAATTTCAACTAAAATATCCTAAAACTGCAAATGGTGTGATTAAATGTCAGAATAAAGTTTGTGCTCAGGGTACTCCCTCTCCACAACTGCCTGTGTGACACTGAGTTAGTGCATTGTTTTCAGAGCCAATCTTAAAATGCCACATCTATGTTAAATATTCTAAATGTGTAACCAATGCTCATACCTGTATATATGAAGAACATTTTGTTTCTTAGAGAAAAAAAGTAATACTATCCTTAATCTGTCTGAAAAGCTAAATATAAAACCCAACATTCTCTGTGGATACTCTCCTATCAAAGGTGACACGCAGAAGGTTCATCTGAATAGTTTCTGTGGCTATCTGATATTAAACTACTGCCTTGCATCGTTATACATCCACATGTATTATTATGCAATAGGCTAGCATAAAACATTGCTGGGAATCAGATGAGGTTTTGCTGCAGGATTTTAGAGAGTCTCTATTACGTTTGTGAATATGCTGAATTTTCCCCCTGGTGTTCTTGAAGTTGCAATAGTTGAGCAACTGTATACATCAGATTTTGCCACATTTTCTTCATTGGATTTTAGACTTTGAATGAGCCATCCGCACCCATGAATATAGGGTTTCATTCAATTCCATTCTGTTGGACTACTCCCTGTTTAGAGTTATTACTCTGCTGGAAAGCCTCCCTCTAAAGTCTTCTGCAGACTTCATGTATACGGTATGTTAGTCCTGGACTCACCTTTACAACATCTCCCCATCGGTTTTTCAGGCCGTCTCAATTGAGGAAAAGATCTCCACAGGTGGATGCCATCACTTGACCAGAGCCCCTTCTGCAATTGCTCTTGTGCACTGTTAAAAATATAAATCTAAGTCATTTTTTTGTAACCCTTTATAGGGCACTCAATGAAATCCTTTGAAAATCAAAATGTCATTTCAATAGTGTTATTGGAATCCAGGACAATACCTTATCTTTGTAACATAAAAAATGGATATTTTGATGGCAAAAATTAATGTAAATTTAATAACAAGAAACACCAGGTTGCCTGAATATATTCAGACAAATAACAACAGTGTTTCTATAAGAAACTCATGAAAAACACCCTGAGAGTGAAAGAAACACAGTTTTTTTGTAACAGCATAAACTTGGAGGCATTAATGCTGATACTGGCACTTAGATCTTTTTGTTTATAGACCTAAATATAATTGTTAACTAGGCTTATTAACTTTTAAACTTTACTTTATAACTTTTCAATTAACTTTTTTTCCCCATTAAAATTCAGTAGGTAATATATCATTCAATGGCTCATCTAATTGGTCAAATGCCAGAATAAGGTGTACAGCCATGTAGCTGTATTTTTGCTGAATGTCTGGATATAGATCTTGTGCTTCTAGACCTCACTGAGGGACGAGGGTGGGGGACTCCATTTGTAAGGGGTATGCAAGGGATCAAAATCTGTAACTTGCCCTATAAAGGGTTAAAATAAATGCATGTTTCTTTAATTGAAGGGAAAAGGGAGATACTTTGCCAGTGGAACAAGACAATGTACTTTTAAAATAAGAAAAAAACAATTGCATTGTCTCATTTCAAGTGCATATTATTTAATTCTTTTATTTTAAGAGTAAAAATCTTCCTATTTATCTGCTCAAATTAAGGGTAAATACACTTGATATAAGACATTTTTATTCATTTCTAGATCGTTTTTGCAGTATG